TCTGTCATACCATTTAAAATATTTAAAATTCTTTATTAAAAAAAAAATCGTACTTTATTTTTACCAAACAATTCAATTTTTTATTTCTTAAAAATCTGTAAATTTACCTTCAATCATTGTAATTTTGTATATTCGAGCTGCTCAGTTTTTAAATTCTGTTCAATTTTTTACTTAAAAAATGCCTATACAAGACTTGTCCTTTTTTAAACAACGTCGGTGATACTGCAAAACGTTCTATGTCAATTATTACTCTTGGAATTTAGATTGTCTTTTACAGGCACCGGAATGCACATGCAAATTAGTACACTCTCATTAACTAATGACAAACTTATCTCCCTTTGGCTGAAGAAGATGGTCGATTAACAGAAGCGATCAGATACTGGTGACAGAGCTCTTAAGCACCCAAGGTCATAATTGACATAGAACTTTTTGCAGTATACATATGTGAAATTTCTTCAATAAAAAACTTTTAGATTTGATATTTTCACTTTCGTAAAAAATATAGGTTTTTTTAAATTATTTTAACGATCTATCACTTATTTCGATAAATAAATTATTTTTTAGCAAAAAAACTAATTAAAAAATTATACAAATTTAAATTACCTTGAAAAGACTTTATTTTGGAAAAAGGTTAAAATTTTCGCCACATTTTTATATATAGAAATAAATTTCAGACATGAACATCTAAAGACTAACACAAAATTAAAATAAATATATATTTAAAACAAATTTTAATTTTTATAGAGGTAATAACACTTTTCCAACAAAATCTTTTCATAAATTTTTTTTAATTCTGAAAAATTTTGTAAACTTGCCAGTCATTGTAATTTTGCAAATTTTTTAATGAACATCTGTTCAGTTTTTTTAATTTTTTTTTTAAGAAATTGCTTCTACAAGACTTGTGAATACGTTATTTTTTTTATATAAGTAAAATTTGTTTTAAGTAAAAAAAATCGTTCAAAAGAAGAAAGTAAAGTTTAACAATTTTTAATTTTCATAAAGGCCATAACAATTTACCAAAAAAAAAAATGCCTTCAACGAAAACTATGTCTTCCAGTACCACACATTTCAGGCGGAAGCAAAGAAGTCGGAGAAGCTAGGTACATAACTAATTATAATTTTTAACCCGATCATAAGGGATTTAAGAATGCAATGTACCTGAGAGCGCCAGAAAGGGCATGTTTCGAAATGTATATAAATATCCAACTGAATAGTTGATTAGATACTGCAAATGTCTACAAACACGTATTGGTTTTTTTTTTCTGTGAAACATGGCACTACTTATTTATAAATTATAATTTTAATAAATTATAAATGTAAAATTTACTTATTATCGTTTGACGCATAAATATTTTTAAGATTTTTATTTTAAAATTAATTTCAAACAAATTTACTTTGAAGCTTTTTTATGTGTTTTTGCAAAAATTCTTTAGATTGACCATTTTCAAATAAAAAGCGACGTCCGAATCATCAAAATTAATTGCAAGTATTTAACAAAAGAAAATTTCAAACTGTCAAACGAAATTTTTGATGCTAAAAATACAAAATCAGACATTCGAATTTGCAAAGAGTTTGCAAAAATCAACTGAAAGATTTGCATATGTACGCATGGGCATCAGGGTGATCCAAAAATACACCGGAAAATCCATTTTCTGGAATTTTCCTGCGTTCTCGGACTGCCTGCCGAGATAGGTCGATCTTCCACTCAGCCATCGATATAGTATGTATGTAAGTATGTATGTATGTAAATAGCTATACACTCAATTCCAACCAGAACCATGTCAACAAAGCAAATGCTGAAATGCATTCGCGAAGCTAGCAAACAAGAACAGGCACCATATCGCTGGTAACACAAAATTACGAAAAAATTTAAATAAAATTAAAACGGTACAACACATAAAATAAAAAACAAACGCAAAAATAAAAAGCGGCCTTGTCTTGCTATGGCTATGGCCAAAGCACCTGTTGAACGCGCTTGAAAAATTGCAAGAAAAGTTTGCAATGCACACACACCGAAAACAAAAATGAAAACAAAAACCAACACAAACACCAGCGAAGGAAAACACAAGCTTTTGTGCTTGAGAACACACAGGTATTTATGAGCTGCTGTAACTTGTTTTATTAAATTCTAATTTAAATTTGTTTTTTGCTGCTGCACAAAACCTAAAAAAAAACTCATTGGCGCACTTGAAGCAAAAATAGTAGAAGAAATAGAAAAAAAAATAAAAAAAAATAAATAAAATGCAAAGCAAATGCTGTCTTTAAATTCCATTTAATTTTGTTAGCTATACGCTCTTCACTGCATTTTTGCATTTGTATTTACATTATTGCACACTTTGTCGTTTCTTCGCCAGGTGGCACTTGATTTGCTTGTGTTCAACGCCACGATTTTTATTAGCAGCGACAAATTGTATTTGTTGGAATTTTTTATTTTCTGAAAAAGCGCCGTTTGAACTTTTTTTTGTTTAATTTTATTCAATTCATGCCGTTTTAACCGTTAGCAATGCAGCGCGCGCGGCACGTCCCGCATAACACGTCCATTAACACCACACCGAAAAACAACCGTTTAACACCGTTAAACGAAGACGCACAACCGCAACCGAGGAACGACAAAACGCAACTGAATGCGACTCCGCCAACAGCTATTCAGTTAATAGCCAGCCTGTTCGTCGTAGCTCATATCAACCCGCTCATCGGCAGCCAGCTCACGGACTACGGTGCGTATGTGGATTGCAATGCGTAGTGTGCGGCGGTGGCGGTGGTGGCGGCGGCGGCACTTGATCGTCGTCGTCGTAGTCGACATGTGCAACATGGGGAGCGACCACTCACCCTCCACCGCCACCACCAACCAAACTGCCCCCCATCGCTCATTGCCACTTCCGATGCACGCTATGTCATGCTTTGGCGCGCTCAAAAGCCGGCAAAATAAGCGAGTCGGCAGCCACGCGCACCACCACTTCGTCGTTGAATTTCGGCCGAAACTTCGCAGATGCATTATTGCAAATTTCATTCATAAATTTTCACTTTGTTTACGCTGGTTGTTGCTTTATTGTCTTCCTTTTGGGGGTTATTGCTTTGCTTTTTTTGCTGTAAAAAGCTTTCTGCGCGCGCAAGCCATTTTGCACTTTGTGAAGTAGTGTTGTTAAGTTGTACGAAACGGAAGCTTTCGTGTCCATCCGTGCTAACCGGAAATGAGTACCGTTAATCTGAGCGTTTTTTAAAAAATTTCGAACTCAGGGGTCAGTGGGTGGCATCTCATGGCGAGGTACGAAATTTTGCAGTTTTTACGAAACCTCAGGCCATCATGAACTCTCTTGGGTACTAAAACAAAAACTGTCCAATAGACCGTACCACCATATAAGCAAACAAAACAAAGGTCAAAGTACACCCCTGAGACGAAAGTATTTTGGCAAGTCAATTTCAAAAAAAAAAAAAAAAAAATTGTTGCCAAACTGAGGGGTCACCTTTTTGCATTTTTCGGTGACACCTACTTGCGACAATAACTTTTTTATATAGTTCTACTGAAATAGTCGAAAAACTTTCTTAGCAAAATTACATTATTTTTGGTGAGCTTTAATTTATTGAGATTAGGGTTGTACGTTAGCGTGGGAGGAACTGAGATCTTGTGAGTATTTTTATTTAAATAACAGCAGCCACGAAGGTGTTGCAACTTCGACTATCTGCTTGTATAAAAAGAAACCTCACGCAGGTATTCTTGGGAATATACCAAGTTTGGAAATATGCGGATTTTCTCATTCCATAACCAAGAGGATATGCTTTGACGGAAGGCTCCACCCAGTGAAAATCACAGATCGCAAAGTTTGGGCAAAGGAACGCTCTGTCCTTGATCCCAGATACATACATTGGTACATGTGCGGTTCAGGGGTGGAAGACAGGAAACCCGCAACTCCCATATCCAGATGGCTCCCGGTTTTCCAGGCTGAAGTTTTAACAATTCTTAGCTGATCCAAATTAAAACTTGAAAAGTATATCAAGTTCGCCTTTCTAGTTTTCATTTCACATAGCCAAGTAAACATCCGGGCCCTCTCAAACAGGATGATGACATCCAAACCTATAAAAGACTGCTTAACACACTTCAAACCCGGCAGAAAAAATAAAGTAACTCTATACTGGGTTCCGGGGCACTGTGGGATCGAATACAACGAGTTTGACACGAGAAGGATTCTTAGATGCCTTTTTAGGACCGGAATTATTCGGTGGTCTCAGCTGGCCCTCTTCCAAAACCATAATAACTGAGTGGATGTACTCTGAACGCAGTAAGTACCGGGAGGCGGGGCCATAGACAGGCCAGGCTCTTTGACTACCATTTCGGATGTTACACAAATAAGCAGAAATGACATCAGGCTTTTCTTCGGGTATCTAACGGGCCTGCCTTGGCCATGCAAAGCTTAACTTTCTTAAAACCTTAATTGTTCAAACCCTTATTAAGGCGCTTTAGGAAGGTCTTGGAAGCCCGATATCACCATGATCTAGTCTACTTTCGCCAGACCGAGCCGGAACACCCCAACCAAGGACAATCGCAAATACCTTTTTCCTCTAGGGAGCCGCTTATACTCAACCAACATCTATAACTGCTCAACTTCGGCACAATGCACATCCGCGCCCTATACTGCTGTTAGCTCAGCTTATGCTCGGATCTCGAAAACCACGAGGAGTACCGGACTGCTGTTACGTGACCCTTACGTCTGGCTCTTATACAACAACAGCTCAATAGAACCCGCGGTGGTGCACCCACACTTAACACCAGCCATTCCCGTACTTAAACCTTCTTTAACCCTAGAATTACATTCTTATTTTCTGTTATAGTGAAAGAAAATGTTTTGTTTCATAACTTTTCAAAAATTACCAAAATTTAAATCAAACCTCACTAATTCCTCAGTTCAGAAATACACCGAAAATCTCTATTCACGGCTGCTATGCAACTCTGCTGGTGAAAGAAAGCGTTTAGCAAAACAAAAATTAAAATCAGCTGTCACTAGATGACAAAAAGCGAAGATAAGTGAACAAATTTTTCGTGCTGATAAGAGAAAATCCGTTTATAAATAAATAATATTTGTATAAAAAGCATTTCTTACTGTGCAGAAGCATGCTCGCAGATGTGGACGTATTCATATCCAACTATACGCTAGTAGATCCAGAAATATACCAATTATGGATAGAGGGATTTTCCTGTAAGTGGCACCGTGCAGTGCAGAGCGGCACAGTTTAATAAACTTTGTGTAAATCTCAACATTTCAGCAAGTGAGGCCGTTTGCTACTTGAAGCAGAAGGGTTTTGGCAGCTTGTTTGGAGCACCAATCGATCTGATTGCATCCGATGTGCTGGATCATTATCGTACTTACTCGCTCATAGAGCGACTGCTGCATGCGCCCACAAAATTACTTGAGCAGTCTTGTTTTCAATTAGAGCCGCAAACGCGTGATTTGATTATTGAAAAGTAACATAAATTATAAGGAAGCAATGCTTTTAATGATATATTTGTATTTTAATAGGTACTACTCCATCGATGATGCAGTGGCGCGAGAAATTCTAGGCAAGAAGCTGTCATCGCGCTATAGAAAGGATCTCGATGAGGTTGCGGAGAAGACTTGCGTCAAGCTAAAGTCGTGCAGGTTTGTTGTGGTTGTATTGTTGTAAGTTGCTGACTTTTATTAAGGTTTCTTTTTATAACAGACGCCAATTCGACAACGTTAAACGCATTTTTAAGGCAGTGGAAGAGTTACCCGGCAATATCACCAACAATATTAAGCAGCTATTTTCGGTTTCGGATGGATTGGCCAAGTGAACAAAACTAAATTGAATACAAATTGCCGGCCTTTAAATAATTTTTTTTTTTTGCTTTTTCCCAGAAAATATGCTTCTATAGTCTTTCTTGCTTGCTTACGTTTTGAAACCTCTAAGAAAAAGTTGCAGTATTTAACTTTTTCCGACTTGTTTGCTTGCTCGCAAGCCATTATGATTTATTGGACGTATACCTATCAGCATTCAGGTCCTGAGTATTACGATACAGAAATGGACAAAGAATTTCTGCTTGATTTGCGTGAGCTGCGTTGCCTGTTGGATAAAGAGAAGGAAATCAAGCAGTAAGTTATGATTTACATATCTGCTAGCTAGTGATTTAATATAAATTTTGTTATTCATATATATTTACAGTCTAGTTTGCTTGCGTTTAAAGCCAGTTCTGTTGGAGCGTGCTTACTTTGAGCTGGACAATAGCTTCCGGTAGCTACTAGTTTTTTAACATTAAAGTTCTTTCACTACTTACTTTTACTTAACTGCAGCTCCTACTGGCGCGCATTTATTACTATTGCTTGCAATTTACATCGTAATCGTGAATTGCGTGACTTATTTTTGGATCTTTGTGAGAAATTAATAGAACCATGGCGTCAAAATGGCTGGAGCCGAGAACAAGTAAATAAATTTTTGTCGGCCATAACTCAAAGTGTTTTGGATTTGGAAATTTCACGGTGAGTCATAAATAAAAGTAATAATATGTCTGTATGATTATAATGGCGCTAAACAGAAGAATAGTGAAACATATAGTCTAAATATAAAGGAATTCAAGTAGCATTTTATGAGCAAAAATGTGTCTAAATTTTCCAAAGCCAAACCAGTCTTCACAAATACCTTTTATTACAATATTTAGCTTAAATTCTGTATACGGAGAAGACTTTCAAACCCGGTGCTTCGAATAACCAGCGGCAATGTTAAGCTCTCGTGTTTTTCGACGAGAGATAATCATATTACTGAATTTTAATGCTAATGCTATACGAAACTTGCGTTTATTGTGGTTCTTAAAGAAAACATTTTCTAACTTTTACTTTCTCTTTCATTGCACACAACTACTTTTGCCACAGTGACCAAGAAACGCGTTGCCTTTGGGATCGCTACATGCAGGTCATCAGCATTTGCTTGGACAGGATGTATCATATTTAATTCAACTAAGATGCCTCGTTTTTGTGTTGTTCAAAAATGTGTTGTCTCTCTATTAATCACGGCTATCGCTGAATCCGTCTAGTCCGAATTTTCGTGAAATCTATGAAGATGCTATCACTGAATCCGAATAGCTACGAACAAAGCATACACTTTGAGTGCATACGTTCGTAGCAATTCGGATTCAGTGATCGCATTTTCGTTAATTTTACGAAAATTGGGCTACGATGGTTGCAGCGATAGCCCAGATTTAAATTAGAGTTCGAAAGTAATTTAATGCCTAAAAAATTTAGATGTAAAAGTGCAATTTGTTGTATTTAAATTTTAAAAACATTAAAAGAGCAGCATGACATTTTTTAAAAAGTCCTTTTTTAATATGAAATATGGAATGCGACGGGTTTTTACTTTACTCTTTTGCTGTTCAGTACAACACCCACTCTTCAACTCCTGCTGCAATTTACAATCAAAAGCGGTATTGAGTTCACTTTTGTCGTGTTTTTTTACACAATTACCCGCATTATTTATAATATTATTTATTATGTTGTAATATTGCGATTTGTGTATTCACAATATATGAAAAAAATACTACAGAACAAAAACCTTCTCACATTATGCTCCACACAACGATTTAATTAAAGAGATTTAACAGAGAGTTGCTTAACTATGTATGTTTATAAATAGAAATGTTAAAGTTAAACAATCGTCAATACAAAATTGTATTTTCGCAAAGAAAATTATCTTCTTTTCTTCAATTTGTTTTGTTTAATTGTTTTTGTTTTTTTAGTTATATGTATTAAGAGTTTTACTGCTATATTAATAAAAAGAATAAAGTGCTATAAAAGTACTAATTAAAATTTTTAAAATTTTTGTGAAAGAAGTTATTTGTTTCTTTGCTCATTTATATTATTATATTCTTTTCGTTTACATTTTATTTATTATATAAACCATTCTTCCCATCAAAGGCGAAATTTGCAGCTTTTGAAAGCTTTTTCTTCGCAATCACTCGCTTAGTGGTGAGCTAAACCCTTAGCACGTCAGACACGCACTCCAGCAAGTGCAAAGCTTTTGTACGCCTCAATGATTCCTTTCGTAGGTTGGTAAGGTAGTAAACAAGCAGTGGGGGTGGAATATTTGCTAGTAATGGCATTTGCAGATGCATAGATACAGTTGGCAGCAACCACCCCCCACCCCATGCCAACCAACCCGACAGTTGTGCAAAAGTTCACAGCAATCATTTCCAATTGTCAAATGCATTTTTCCATTCCTCATACTCACTGAAGCCTATGCACTGTGCTGAGTTTAGTTAGTTTTTGCAAATTCATTTGTAATGCAGTTGTAATACAGAAAAAAGGTAACTGCAACAAATTTTGGGATTCTTAAGTGATTGTTTTAAAAAGTTTAAATTCGAGTGATATTAAACCATACATTTCGAAGCAAGAGTTATAAAATCCGTGGATCCGTAAAAAAGGTTATTCGATGGAACGTAATCTGTAAATATATAGCAGTAGAAATTCGTCTGATTGCAAAACGTTAAAGAAGCGCCACAAGTGGCTGCAGCGATAGGCGCTATTGCAACATATAAGTGATTTTTGGTAGTTTAGCTTTAATAAGGAGATCGTTGTGAATTAAATTGATACCAAAGACGGTTTTTGAAACCTCATAAGAGAAATTATTGGTGAGCGACATACAAAGTAAGCGTATATCAGCGGCCAGGCACAATTCCCAACCCACCACATTAGTGCTTGCGGCGCGACCATGGAGGAAGTGGACGATGAAACATTCGACGATGCCAAATCTACGCGCACCTCAGATGAGAATCGCAAGTAAGTTTCATAAAAAAAACTAATAACTGAAAAATACTGCATCCCAACACTTTTTTATTTTCCTATTTGCAGGCAAAACCACAGTGAGATTGAGAAGCGTCGTCGCGACAAAATGAATACGTATATAAATGAGCTGTCATCCATGATACCCATGTGCTATGCAATGCATCGGAAGTTAGACAAGCTAACAGTACTTAAATACACAGGTCAGATATATGTAGATGCACACAGTGGCGTAGCGCTAAGGAAAGCTTTACTCAGACAGTATTCAATTAAGAGTATCCTTGCTTAGTAGTTTATAATTGCATTCTCACTTTTGCTTTTTTTCAACTGACTTGCAGTGCAACACCTGCGTGGCATACGCGGCAGCGTGCATCCATATAGTGGCGGCGATTATAAGCCCTCTTTTCTATCGGATCAGGAACTTAAAATGCTTATACTCCAAGCATCCGAGGGATTTCTCTTCGTGGTGGATTGTGATCGCGGACGCATTCTATATGTTTCCGAATCAGTGTCGCAAGTGCTAAATTGTTCGCAAATGGATTTACTCGGGCAAAGTTGGTTTGATATTTTGCATCCGAAGGATGTGGCTAAAGTAAAGGAGCAGCTTTCTTCGTTGGATCCATGCCCGCGGGAACGCCTAATTGATGCTAAAAGTGAGTGTAAAATCTAGATTTAAATGCTACAAAAGTATTTACATCAAATCTTATAATTGCCTCTACTTAATTATATTTTTCTTTCTCCAGCCATGCTACCCGTCAAAAGCGACATTCCACAAAGTCTTTGCCGCCTCTGTCCGGGCGCGCGTCGTTCTTTCTTTTGTCGCATGAAACTCAAATCAAATAACAACCAAATAAAAGAAGAATCAGACACATCCTCGAGCTCACGCAGTTCTACAAAGCGCAAATCTAAGCTAACTGTTGATCACAAGTATCGTGTTATACAATGTACTGGTTATTTGAAGTCATGGACGCCAATAAAAAACGAAGATCAAGATAGCGAGAGTGAAGATAACCTGACGAATCATTCCAGTTTAGTGGCTATTGGACGAATACCGCCGAATGTTTTGGAATCAAATGTGCCACCATCATTGGACAACCATCCTAACATTAGGCATGTGCTATTCATCTCAAGACACTCCGTGGATGGCAAATTTTTATTCATTGATCAAAGGTACACAAAGGCAAACGTTTTTGGGTAGCATAATTTATTTTAAGAATTGCATTTTCTTTTAGAGCCACAATCGTCATTGGTTTCTTGCCACAAGAAATGCTTGGCACCAGCTTTTACGATTACTTTCATCATGAGGATATTCCTGCATTGGCGGAGTCACATAAAATGGTCATTCAAGTGCCGGAGAAGGTAACCACGCAGGTTTATCGTTTTCGCTGCAAGGACAGTAGTTTCGTACAACTGCAGAGTGAATGGAAGGCTTTCAAAAATCCTTGGACAACTGATATTGAATATATAATTGCGAAAAATACGGTTTTCCTCTGAATACTTCTCCGGCAGCTATGCTATTTATACGTAGAGTGAATATTTCGTAATCTAATGGAAACGACTTAAAAGTTTACTTTTATACACATACTAGTGTGTTGTATTTTCATATTAGATTTAAGTTCATCGCGTAAATATTTTGCATAAATTCATACAAGGATGCTCTAGCGGAGGTTCGCAAATAAAAATTCATCCTTTACACATTCTTGTGTGTATAAGAAAGAAAAATTGCGTACAAACAATATTTTTTTTAAATCTAATTTGGATTTAATTGCAGCCTAGTAAGGAAATAAAATGCCCGTTGTTGTTGTAGCCCTGTCTGGACTAGCTAATTGTTGTTGTTGTAGCGGCACTACTAAGCCCCGCCTTTTTCGGGTCAACATTCAATCATTTTCGTCAAGCTCAACTAACGGGAGGCCCAGGAAACGAGCTGTTTCAATGGGGTCGGACCAGAGGGAGAGGGGTGTTAGCTGATTCGGATTGAGCTGGCAAGGGAAGAGGTGGTTGGTGTCGTCAGGGGATTCTCCACATGCCGGGCACTCATTGCGGATATTGGGGTCGAGTCTGGACAGGTAGCTGTTGAGGTGGCTACAGTATCCAGACCGTAATTGAGCCAGGGTAACGCGGGTCTCTCTTGGCAGTTGAAGCTCCGTTGTTGTTGTTGTTGTAGCTCCGTTTCTTCTACAGGTGGTTATTGGGCTCCTATTACGGCATTCATAGGTCGAGAGTCAAGGTAGGTGGTGACTGACTCTATGGATGTCGTTAATGGCTCGTCTGTATGTCGTCGGGTCCAGTGGTTGGTCTACGTATTGCTGGACTGCGTCCTTGTATATGAATAGGTGCCCCCTGACGTGCCTGGGCGGAGGTTCCTCCTGAAGCAGAGGTATGTTTGCTTACAAAGCATTTTCCTCCAGCAGCTCCCTTACGGGGAGCATCTGTGTAAGTGGTGCTCAGGCATCATCAGAAGGCACCCAGTCGCTGTCTGGAGTGCGGAGTTCTGACAAGTCCTCGGCGTCCAAACTGGCGCAGCATAGTTTAGAACCGGCCGGCCAATTGCCCTGTATGTTGCCAGCAACGTTTCTTTGTCTTTGCTGGCGGCGAGCGACTTGAGGACCTTGTTGCGGCTCTGTACTTTATTGACAACTGCGGTTGTGTGCGTGGAGTAGGAGAGCAGGCTATCGAAGGTGACCCCTAAAACTCGACGTGTATACCTAATTCTAGCCTGACCTCCTTCGTCCAGGTGGTGATTTCGTTGGGGAGAGTGTTAGGCTCCTTGCAGTGAAGAAGCGTGAAAGGCTGGAGAGATAGTCGTTTACTATTGAGCAGAGGTCATCAATTCCATTCCCGGACGCCAAACTCGAGCAATCGTCAGCGTATGAGATCAGTGAAACTCCCTCAGGTGGCTGGGGAAGCTTCGAGATGTAGAAGTTAAATAATAAGGGGGAGAGAACACCACCTTGTGGAACCCCTTGTTTAATTCTTCTTGGTTTCGAGGTTTGATCTCGGAAGATTACCGACGACTGTCGACCACTCATATAATTCGCCGACCATCGCTTCAGTCCCTGTGGGAGTGAGGAGGCCTCGATGTCTTCTAGCAGTGTGGAATGGCAGACGGTGTCAAACGCCTTTGATAAGTCCAGCGCTACTAGGACCGTTCTCTCACAGGGGCGGTTTCGATTTAGGCCACGAGTTATTTGGGTGTTTATGGCGTTAAGTGCTGTTGCTGTGCTATGCACTTCACGGAATCCGTGCTGGTGCTTCGTTGGGGTCAGGTGGCAGGAGTAGCAGGGCCTCAAGTGTCTTCGCGACCGGGGAAAGGAGCGTTATCGGGCGATAAGAGTCTCCTTTGTTGGCGGGCTTCCTCGGTTTCAGCAGTGGGACCACTCTCCCTGATGTGCTCAGGAATGATGAGAGTGGCCATAGACAGGTTGAGGACCTCCTTTAGGTAAGCTACTCCCTTAGGTCCCAAATGTTTCATCATCAACATACAGATTCCGTCGGGTCCAATGGCTTTGAAGGCTTTCGTCTTCCCGATAGCCCCCTTCACTTCACAGATGGTGAAAACAAGTGGTGCACTGTTTTTTGGCAGCTTGTGCAGCCTTCTGGTCACTCGACGTTTGGCCTTGTCTACCGAAGGATGCAGTGTGAATTGCCTACTGAAGTAGGTTACGCATTTCTTCGGGTTCGACGAAGCGCGACCTTCGAATGAGATTTCCACTCTGTCAACACGCTTCGTTGGTTTAGACAAGGACCTCACGGTTGACCAGAGCTTACTCACACCAGATGTGAAGTTACAGACCTTCAAGTGCTCCTCCCACTTTTTCCGCTTGTGCTGATTTACCACTTGCCGAATCTCCAAATTCAGGTCCTTCAGGACTTCCGCGATGCGTCCGACGGGATGAAGCGAGCCGCTGCGGCAGTGACTACCCTGCGGAACTGGCGTTCGCCAGCATGTACGTTTGTGGGTGTGGGAAGGGCGGCGAAGCTGCTCTCGGTAACTTCCGCAAAGCCGTCCCAATCAGGGTGGTGTCCCTCGGGTCGATGTCTTCTTCGATAAGCCGATACTGCACTGTGTGGTGTAGGATGAACGCTAATCCGCACCATTATCTCGCTCGCGATATTTACGGAGCACATTGTAGGCGGCGCAATCCAACAGAGTTGAGTTGCTGTGCAACTTCGTTTCTTGGACCGCAGCTATCAATATGCCATGCCGACCCATAAAGACTACTATCTCCTCAATCTTACTCTGGAGTCCGTTGCAGTTGAGTTGTAGGAGTTTCGTATGCCTTGGGAGGCTAGTCGCGATACGGGGGTTAGGGAGGAGTGAGGTCTACCTTGGGCCTGTTGTATCTGACGGGCTTGCTGTTGCTGCCTGTTGGTAGGTGGCTGCAATGAGGGCGCTGTTGTCTGCGTCAGCGGTGCTCTACAGCATGGGGCACTGTAGTGCGCAGTCCACTCACGCATGGTGCGTAGGCCAGAGCATAGGCGGAAGTGACACCAGCCAAGGCATGAGTTGCATTTGACCGATGTTCCCCTACGATCGTTTGACAGGCTTGAATGCCAAAGATCTTGGTGCCCATTAAAGTCACCAACTACCATACGGTTTTCACCTCTGAGGAGCGCACCTATATCAGGGTGATATCCTGCAGGGCAACTAGTGACAGCGAGTATATGAACGTTAAATATTTCGAGCTCGACATCGCCTGACCGGATAGCAATGCCCTGACATTCTAGGGTGGTATCTTGCGGCTCGCGATCCCGACGGTGCACGTTTTATCCGGCACAATTCACAACAGCAATGTTGAATTGCTGTGCAACTTCATCTCTTGGACCGCAGCTATCAGTATACCATGCCTTGCCATGAAGACGGTTATCTCCTCGATCTTCCTTTGAAGTCCGTTACAGTTAAATTGAAGGAGCTTCATGTAGTTTGGGAGACGTGTTGTTATGCGCGGTGTGAGGGATGTGTGTTGTCTTGCCGCTATTGGCTGTGTGCGCTGCTGTGGAGGATGCCGCCCTGTAGGGGTAGTGGGTGGCGTCGCAATTGGGGTTTGCAACCGCGCAGCCCAACACGGGCCCTCGAAGTTCCTCGTCAAATGTCGCGTGATGCGCAGACCTGAACACGCCCTAAAGTGGCACCAGCCAAGGCAGGTGTTGCACTTGACTGATGTCACGTTATATTCCTGGTCTGACATACCGTGCAGATTGTAGGAGGAACCAGGAGTTGTTGGCGGCGGCGTGTGTGTGGTGGTGCGGTTGAGTCTGTTATGTGGTCTGTCATGGTTGTGGTGTGGTCCATTGTGTTGTTATGTTGTGGTACTGTGGTGTCTGTGTGCATTGCACTTGACTGAGGTGGAGTTGTGGTGTAGTCGTCTATGGCATACACAGTAGGTGTAAGTTTCTGGCCCTGGGTTTAACTCGATGCCTGCGCTGAGCAGAAGAATACGTAGCAAATGTAGCCCTATGGACGAACAGCTTCTGAGATACTTCGCCGACCTAAACGGAGTTAGATCGCCGAAATAACAACTCTTGGTCGGGTAAAACCCGAGTCATTCTGGTACGTAGAGCCTCTTTTCCGTCCTGACAGAACAACACGTTTTCTAATGATAAGATTAGAAAGGCGAAATAGGGCGTAGGGAAACAGGAATTATGGGATCCTGTCCAACGTATGCCAGTCTTGCTATTACAAGCATTCCTCCACAGTCTATTCTGATTGAAAAGGTGCCAAGTATGGTATACCGACGAATCAAAGATTGACGACGGCAGCAATAGAGCAGGCGTGCTTGGACCAAGATTCCAGAAAGTCTGTCAATGGACTCATACCCAACCATATGCCCAGCGGAAGTCTTCGCAATCGAAATCTTTGTTCGAAAATGTGTCCAGAAGGGCGAATAGGGCCAGAATAAATACTATGTCGGATATTCAGGGAACATTAAATGCCTTAAACTCATTTAGAACGACATCAAGGCTTGTGGGTAAATGTAAAACTGTTTTGAGCCGTCTAGGAGCCCAAAATGCAGTAACGTTGTGGTGAGTCCCTGGACCTGAAGGTTCTAAGGCAACGAAAGGGCTGACTGTCTCGCAAAATGTGGAGCTCTAGTGCGCTTGCATGGCCCCGAGCCTTTCTGCGGCACATTTAAAGGATACACTGCAGAGCTACTTAGAAGCTTAGAAGAAACTCAGATTGCTGCCCAGTGGCGGAAGTCAAAAGGAATGGGACCATCAAACAAATTCATAACTCCTTCCAGGGAAGACTCCGAAAGACTCCTTGAACTTAGCCGAAAGGGTCTTAGAACTCTTACAGGCTACCTGACAGGACACTGCAAGTTAAGGTACCATTTGAATAAAATGGGGCTCTCTGTAAACACGGACTTCAGGATGTGTTGGTTGGTGGAGGAAACCCCAGAGTATAATCTATGCGATTGATCACGTATCATGAAGCGCAGAGTCATACACTATTCAAAATTTTGAACATGGTACACTCCAATGTGCTAAATAGCCTAAAGTGGCAGTAACTGCAATTATGATTTAGCACAATAAATAATTTTAGGTAATAGCGGGAGTATACCTCACGTAATAATGGTAATAATAATAATAATATCTAATAGACAACCGAATAGACTTGCGAGTACTACAAGCAAGCACGTAGTATTTTCTCTACTCGTTAGTGTAGCTTCGTGTATCTGTTATGCGCGATCGTGGCAAGTAG